AGAAAAAGTAGATTACCAACTCACAGGAAAGTAGATATTCCCATTTTCTATGATACAAATTTCCGTTTTCTATGATAATCTACTTTGGAAAAATAAGTATATTTCACAAAAATGTCGATATACTTCTTCGAAATTCGATAATCTACTTTCGGAAAAATAGAAAAATCTACTTTTCAGAAAATAGATTACCAACTTTTCCCGGAAAGTGATATTTCCCATTTTCTATATTCTAAATTTCCGTTTTCTATGATAATCTGCTCTGGAAAATTAAAGTAATATTTCACAAAAAAGTCGATATTCATCTTCCCCGAAAAAGTCAGTAATCTACTTTCTGGGAAAGTAGAAAATCTACTTTTCAAGAAAAATCGTTACCAACTTTTGGAAAGTAGATATTTCCCATTTTCTGTATTCAAATTTCGTTTTCTATGATAATCTGCTTCGGAAAAATAAGTAATATTTCAACACAAAAAGTCGATATTTACCGCTTTGAAAAGTCGATAATCTACTTTCCGGAAAAAGTAGAAAAATCTACTTTTTTCAGAAGAAATAATTATAGCTTTCCCGGAAGTAGATATTTCCCATTTTCATGAAACAAATTTGCGTTTTCTACTGATAATCTGCTTCGGAAAATAAGTAATGCTTCACACAAAAAAGTCATTCTAGCACCACAAAGTCGATAATCCTGCTTTCCGGAAAATGAAAAATCTGCTTTTCAGAAAAGTAGATACCAACTTCGATGAATATTTCCCATTTTTCTATGTTCTAAATTTCCGTTTTCTACCAAATAATCTAAACTTCGGAAAATAAGTAATATTTCATAAAAGTCGATATTCTACTTCCCCGAAAAGTCGATCACTTTCGGAAAAGTGAAAAATCTACTTTTTCAGAAAATGAATTATAACTCGGAAAGTAGATATTTCCCATTTTCTATGATACAAATTTCGTTTTTCTATGATAATCTACTTCGGAAAAATAAGTAATATTTCACAAAAAAGTCGATATACTTCCCCGAATTGATAATCTACTTTCGGAAAATGAAAAATCTACTTTTAAGAAAGTAAATTTCCAACTTCCCGGAAAAGTGAGTAACACCATTTTCTATGATACAAATTTCCCGTTTTACCTGTGATAATCTACTTCGGAAAAATAAGTAATATTTCACAAAAAGAGTCAAAATTCTACTTCCCGAAAGTCGATAATCTGCTTTTCGGAAAAATAGAAAAATCACTTTTTCAGAAAAGAGTAGATTACCAACTTTCTCCCGGAAAGTAGATATTTCTATTTTCTATGATACAAATTTTCATTTTCTGCAATCTAACTTTGGAAGTAAGTAATATTTCACAAAAAAGTCGATATTCTTCTTCCACGGAAAAAGTCGATAATCTCTTTCGCGGAAGGAAATGAAAAAATCTACTTTTCAGAGAAAAATCGTTGCAAACTTTCCGGAAAATGAATGTTCCCATTTTAGTAGAAAAATCTACTTTTCAGAAAGTAGATAACCAACTTTCCTGAAAGTAGATATTTCCCATTTTTATGATACAAATTTCCTGTTTATGATAATCTACTTCTGCAAAAATTTGGTATATTTCACAAAAAAGCGATAATCTACTTCCCCGAAAAGTCGATACAATCTACTTTTCCCGAAAAGTAGAAAATCTACTTTTTCTGGTGAAAGCAGATAACCAACTTTCCTGAAAAGAGATATTTCCATTTTCATGATA